CCTGCCCTAACGTATGCAGCAGAAACATGGTCGCTACGTAAGCAGGATGAAAGATCACTTGCCGTTATCGAACGCGCAGTCGAAAGGTCGATGCTAGGAGTATCCCGTATCTCGCAAATGAGAGAAAGGATCCGAAGTTCCGACCTACGTCAACGATTGAAAATCAGAGACGCCGTTCTACACGCCAGGATATCGAAAATAAGGTGGGCAGGACACGTGATGCGCTTTAACGACAACCGATGGACGTGAGCCGTTAACGACTGGATTCCTCGGGACGTCAAGCGCTCCAAAGAAAGACCACTGACCCGTTGGTCCGTTTTCTTCACGAAAGCGATAGAAGATAGTTATGATGCTCGGCGAATCCCAGAGCGAGGAGGACCCACTGGACTACTCTTGCACGCGACAGGAAAAAATGGAAGAGTTGCTGGTACCCGTTCGAGTCACTCGACGGTCAACGGGACGACAGGTGATACAGGTGATACATACGTGCATATATAAATATGTGTATATATAATGGTGTAATGGTCGTAGCCAAACAAACGACAATAGGCAATCAATCACTCAGAAAGAACTTCACTTTGAGCTAATCTTTTACCTTAAGCAGATTGTAATTTATAGGGCTTAGATTCCTTACATTGAGAACCAATAGCCGATTGGCATTTGCCACTGATAAGGCTTACGAGAATGCCGAAATCTACGTCGAGTATTCGAGTTACCACAACAGACTTTTGAAAGGCTTATAAAAATTCTATCGGATTACACTGATACTTTTACTTCATTTTATTTCGACCCTCTACAAAGCTATTCGAGTATTCCACGTGCCGATCCTGATTCTGCTTAAGAAATCGCCTTCTTTGGGAATCACGTAGAATTCTAGTTGAGACAAATCTTCCTGTAATCCTGGAGATAGCCGGGCTGAGTCGTGCCTCTCTGGTGCCCAGTCCACTAGTTGCAAGAATGTGCTGGGGAGAGGATGGAAACAGCATCTTGCTGGCTTCAAAATCGGCATTGAGTCAAGTGAGTGATAGCGTATTACAAAATGAAAAGGCACTTTGAATAAACAAACTGCAAGTCTTACCGACGAATTCCGCACCCTATGGGATCTTAACATCTGCTTCTTCATGAGGGAATTAACACGCCAAAGTTCACACACCTTTACTGATAGCGCGTTCAGTATCTACGACAGCGTTAAAGCGCAGCTAGTTTGAGCACATGCCCTCAGGCTCCTCGTAAACCGCTGTATATTATTGCCCCGTGTCCATCTAATGGGTCTTGAACAGAGATGTGGGCCCGTCTTCCAGTTATGCCATGTTTCCAGACTTTTGGACTAATAACTCGATAAAAGTGGAGATTTGTAAGCAATCGACTATTATATTAGGTCGCTCCGTATGTTCTACCACTGGAGCAGTAAACACCACATTAATTAACCAGATGTCATTAAAATTGCATGATTTTGGATTGTTCATTTGCCCATTTTTTTGCAAACATGCTGGTATAAAACTTGCCTATACTTGCATTAGAATGTAGCTGTCGTGGGAACAAATTCACTTACTACTCATTCCCAAATCTTGCGTAGGGAAAGTGCTAGTGGATTAATGGAACTTAATCTGGGCGACCCGAGCGCCACTGATCCTCCAGAGTGCTCTCTCCAGCTTTGAAATGCGCAAGCCATTGTATAGACGTCCTTTCTGCAACCGTATCATCACTCTAAGTTCTCCCTTTGATCTTTTGGGACCATGGACCCACCTCCTCTGCATCTATAACTCCAGCGCGAGAACGCTTTAATTAATGTTGTATTATTTTAACTGTGTCATTGTTGATATTTTTCTATGTTATCTTATATGAAAATATATTATGTTGTCATAAGCAGGAAGATAACAACTATAATACAAGTTGGAATAATACATTAATTCAGTGCGCTCTTTCGATGGGGGCTAGAGATGCGCTGGAGGTGCAGCAGATGTTGCCATGCTGGGGTTAGAGATGCAGAGGAGGTGGGTTCACTATTCTCCAATGGGCAAGAGGAGCCTATTGAGATAAGTGAATCACTAAGAAGTATCTAAGAAGGTAAGCAAAGGGTTTGGATGTCGGCTGCCGCTTCGAAGCAATTCGAGGCAACTAAAGTGTCATCGAAGGCGTGCACTGGTCCTTCGCTCAAGAATTTTTGTGCCCGTCTTTTGTCTGTAAACCGTTCGAAATGCCAGCTGCGAACAGAAAAGCTGTCCATCTGCTGACCCAGCTTGCTAACCGACGCTATGATCAATACCTGACCTTTTAATTATCTGCAATTAGAATATTAATTATTTGATGATATGCGATAGAAGAGCGCATGTGGCGCAGTGGTTAGAGGTGCCCCGCATCGCACACGAGGTCAATGGTTCGATCTCGCGCTCATGGCTCACCAAGCCATACATCCCTCCGGAGTCGGTAAATTGGTACCAGACAGGTCTCAGACTTGTCTGGGAGGATAAGCAGCACTGACTCGGTTCAGCAGGAGGCCTCCACGAGTCATTGTAAAGGCCAGATATGCATTCAATCACCTCAAACAAAGTTAAAAATTGAAGTTGAATGCATGGCGCATTACTCAGAGATTGATCAACGCCGAGAGCTTTATCCTTTATCCTTTATGCGATAGAAGTAAGCGTAGAAGAGAAAGGAAAGTAGCAATCGTTCGGGGGAATAACTGCTATACTTAGAGTCTAGCATAGGTAAGAATAAGCCATGCTCAGGTTGAGAAAACTAGCCTGAGGTATGGCGCAAGGTCAAGCGTAATTACGAGGCACTCCTCTTTGCAGTTCACTCTTGGACTTTTAGCACTTATCCAGAACGCCACAAGAGTTTTACACACGGATGTTTTGGAATCAGTGCGAAGATAAGTGACTTTCACGTCAAATTTTTCACTGTCAAGTAATTGTTCCCTATGCGTTCCTAGTGGAATCTTTCGTTGCATTTTCCAGCTAGGCGCTCTTTGATACGGAGGCAGAGTGACGTAATCGTTTCTCCAATGTATTCGTCCCTGCATGTCCTACAAGAGAATAGGTATGTTGTACCAGATCTCTTACAATCGCCTTCTCCACCGTTAGGGCAATTATGCAGTGTTTTGTTTGGCAGGGATGGTCCTACATTCGGTTGCGGGCCAGTTAGCAGTTCAGAGTGTTTTGGAAAAACTCAATTGCCGCTACCGAATTGCCTGATCCTGCCCTAATCAAGCAGAGTTTAATAGGGTGTTCTTACTTTGCCGGAAAAAAGGACAAGTTGAATGGGACCATATTTTCGTCAGAATTTTCGTCTGAGGGAGTCGATCTTTCTTAAACCTACTTGAAAGTTTTACATAAATCAAATGGCGTTTATTGTCGCCTAACAAGCGTAGCAATAAGATCTGTTCTAAGTTTTATTCTGTGCTCGAGCGACACTTTCTTGTCGTAAGGATCCAAACCGGTCTTTTCCTTGACCAGCTAAGACGTCTTGCACACCTTTTGTATCTTCCGATCAGCAACTTGTAATGCAATGTTAGGTTTCCCTCGATATCCTAGACTGTTCAGAAAGTCTGAATCATAATTTTCTCAACATGAGATTTTTATTTTTATCCGTGAGCGATGACAAAAGCTCTTTTCGCGATGACAAAATCCCTTTTCTAACTTCCCCCGGAAAGAATGTTCGCATAGAGAATCGTTGATTGGATCTCTTACGGAGGAATAATAAGAAGGGGGAAGTGAAGAAGTATCTTTTAATAATGAGAATGTAACCAATTTTTTATGTCTCCATGCGTGAAATGCTAGTACGCCATTACCATAAACAGCTATGATTAATCTCCTCCAACTTGGACAAAAGAGATTTTTACGTTAGGCGTGTAATCTACAAAAGTGCTCGTCAGACGCGTTTCGATCTCATTTGGATCTATGTTTCAAATTTTCAAATCCTGCGTTGATTTTTCGGTGATCTTTGCACACATGGCGTTGGTAACTGTGATAAGCCATGTTCACATATTGTGTGAATCTTCTCTATTTCTCATTGCTGTGCGGTTAATGCTACTAGATGATTTACTCTTCACCATGAATGTTGCCGGATGGTGATTCAAAAGATTCTCACCGAAACTCCTGAACACCACTGCTTCACGCATACTAAATCTTCACATATTGTGTGTCTTCTAATATTTCTATCCATTGTCTCAAATGCGCAATACATCAAAGTGGTGTAACCTTCACTGAGGATCTTGCCTTCCTTTACGGAGTTCGGTGCTAATTCGGTTTACTTTACCTGGAATGTTTGGATGGTGTGCCTGGGGCCATCCCAGGCTTCATCTTAACGAGTCACTAGCATCTTTTGCACATAGGGAGCTCTCACAGATAAGTCTGCTACAAATTCGTCAACCATGAGAAGAATGGGATTTCTTTTAGTCTTGTTTGGGCTCGAACTAACAACCATGCCTGTGTTATATTGTTTGTCTAGCCAATATGTTGCACATGCTCCAGTGCCTTTTCCCATCTCTAAAGGTATGGAAGAGGTAATGCAGTGGATAGTGCTACAGTTAATCAGGAGGCAAGTTGATAAGCAAAGCGGTGGTTCGTTCCCTGTCCCGCGACTCCCGTCCATACAATCTGTTAAAGATATTCAAGAAGTGTAGGGATCTGCACAATTTTTTTTTGCTCTTCGAAATTAAAGTATTTCTACTGTTTTTTTTGTCGCAGGGTTATTATGTTACTTATATAACCAAGAGAATTGAGTGGTGAGCAAAAACACGGCCTTAGGCGGGAATCGAACCTGCGTTTCATCCTGTCCGGGGACGCGTGCTCTACCACTACACCACCGAGGCACATTTGCCCGACCACTCATTCTTCGACATCTCTATGTTAGGTATCAGCTACCAACCTTTAGCAGGTTTGGTGAGATATCCGATTTCGCTTTATATCCCGTAGAAAATTATAAAGAAAAAAAAATCATTATTATATTTATAAATAGCTAACATAGAGATGTTGAAGAATGAGTGGTCGGGCAAATGTGCTGCGGTGGCGTAGTGGTAGAGCACGCGTCCCCGGATAGGATGAGACGCAGGTTCGATTTTCGCCTGAGGCCGTGTTATTGCTCACCACTCAATTCTCTTATTTTTTTTTGGGTAAATTTTCGCGTTTTCGTTATGCGAGAGACCCACTGATCTTCTTTCTATTGTTCCGCTTTTGGTTTATATGCAGAATGAATCAGTGAGAAATTTTTCAACAACCACAAGAATACTGACATACGGATAAGGACCAAACCTGAGGCGACTTTGAACCCACGATCGGTCTTTCCGGAAGCTCACATGTTACCCATTACGCCATCGATGCTTGTGCTCTGCCTTGCTCTCAATCATGTTTTAGCCGTATCGGGTGTTGTGTTCAATCACCAATCAGTCGGAATGATCCGATAGTCGCATATCGACATTAAACCCAATTAAGCTGAGGCTGGAAAATTAAGGTCGCAATGTCTGACTTCCATTGACTGCCTATTCTTCTTTATAGTAAGAAACGATATTTAAAGCAACCGTATTACGGGGAATCTTGGCCGCATTTGAACCCACAACTACCTCTTTAGAGGCTTCTTTCTCTTTTTGTGAAGTTAGCGAAAATTTGAGGACAATGGTCGGATGAGATAACACAACAAAGAAAGGTTATGAAGGAATGCTATCATTGTGGACGATTACAATGTGCTGTCGAATTGAATGTGATGGTCAAGTACTAAATGCTTACAATTCCTCGTATTCTTTCCACCACACACGGCGTAGTCCTTGGCATCGAAATCTCACCTCCACTTCGCCTCCGAGTCACACTAGTCACCCGTTCTAGCCAACGGGCGTGCAAAAATTATGTCACACAGGGGTGACGAAGCGGATTCCCCTCGGAGCGCCCGACCCACCCTCCCCCGCAAACCTCAGAGAATTGACCCATCACGGTCAATGGACACTAAGGTATGCTTCGTATATCACGCGGATTGCTTCTAGCATTAGCGTGGTGTTATAAGTATATATGCAATAACGCTGAGTATCATGCAAAACTTCAAACTCGCGTATCATCCTTCCGGTTTCACGCGCTAACCACTGCACTATAGAAATATCTGCTCTGTTATTACTCTTTCTGCACTATCAGAGATATACAGCTCAGTTAGTTATTGCAATCTGTCAAAAAAAAACAGTAGCAGTATGGTTTTACTTTCCTTTTGTAGCAGAAAACGATATGAAAAACAACCACAGTCACACGAACCTCGGCGGGGATTCGAACCCAAGCCTACCTCTTTGAAAGCCTGCGTGTTACGCACTACACCAGCCATGCTCTGCTGTCTAGTTGAGACATCTCAACCGTGTCGTGAATTTTGTAGCGCTCGGTGCGTGGTGCAGACAACGCTTTCACGTCTACGCCTAATTGCTACGTCGCTTCTTTTTCTGTCTCTCTCCCTCTCTGTCTCTCGTTGTCTCTCTTTTTTTTCTTTTTTTTTGTAATTAGCAAAAATCTGAAGGGGCGTGGTCGGTCTACTCTTTTGTAGAGGAGTTTGTGATTTTTGTCAAGTTCTAATGATAGGAGAATGCCACTTTATTGGCTCTTTTCACCATGGTTTCTTCCAAAGAATGTTCCATCAAGAAGTAAATTTTGGATTTGTCGTGCTTTTCTATTTACTTATTTTTTTTACTATTGAATGTCTGTTTTTTTATACGGTTTCGCCTCACATTTTTATTGTGCGGCAGATCCCAGCCTTTTCTGGATTCGATCCGTTTTCTCCCATTCGTCCTCCACAAAGCTCTTTGAAATTTCGCGTGTTTCGGCTGTTGCCTGAGATTCGTCTTCTTCATGAATGTCGCGGAGTGCTGATGGAAGCGATTCCACTCGTAGTCCTGGAGGGAATCGAGCTGAGACGCACCTTAAGGCGTTCGTTATTCCATTACAAGAATGTTGGGAGTGGGGGAAGGGATAGAACCAGCTCCTTGCTTCCTGATAGCCTACATCATTAGCCATTTGGCCCACAACTGCCCTCCGCTCGATTTTCAAGATGAGAATGGGCAACAATCATCTTCAGTAGCAAATACTAACGTAGTACTTCGAAATTATAGTGATTCTACTGCTTCTTTCGCAGTGTTATGATGTTACTTGTATAACTAAGAGAACCGAGTGGTGAGTAAAAACGCGGCCTGAGGCGGGAATCGAACCCGCGTTTCATCCTATCCGGGGACGCGTGCTCTACCACTACACCATCGAGGCACATTTGCGCCAATACTCATTCTTCAACAACTAACGTAGTAGTTTATGGCGATACTGATATTCGTCACTGTCTAAATAGTAATCAATTTCTTCTCGTTGTCTTTCACTTGTTTGTTGAATATTACTAGAAATTGGGTAACTTTACATCGGACAACCGATGGACGAGAGCCGCTGCCGAGTCGGAGTGAGTCTTCGAGATCTCACGCGCTGAACGAGAGAGGGACCGACCACATGGTGTGATTAGTTCCAGAAGGACTTAGAAGAAGGATATGATGCTCAAAGAATTCCATAGCGTGGAGGATCTACTGGAGTACACTTGGATGCGACAGGGAGGAACGGGTGATTCACTCGCGCTCGCTTGAGTCTGTCGTCGTTCAGCAGGGCGTAAGGGAAACAGAATAGACTGATGAGGCCACGTAAGGTTCTTATGAACCTTTACTATGACGGCTAGAGTTTCGGCGTTGGTTTCGCTTTCATCCTTAAGAGTCACGATCATTTTCGTCGAACCTCCAAAGCAACTGATCTCCTTTCAATGCTGGTCTTCGTATTTTTTGTGGCATCGAGACGAATCGCATAGGTTGGTGGAATAAACCTCACGAATAGTCTCGTGTTAGTTCATTAGGGAAAACACTACTGATCAATCATTTAAGGTTCTCGGAGAGTATGCAGAACATTTGATTTTAGACGGAATCTGAATGCGCATATCACCCATGTGAGGTGCGCGCGCAGCCGCTGCACCAATGAAGTCGCTGCTTTGCTGCC